TGGGGGGGGGGGGGGGTTGACTGTTTGTTTTGGGGTCTTTTTAATAAAATAGTGCAAAGCGCATAGGGCTTGCTTTCGAGTGGCGACATGCGCTATACAAAAACTATTTATCTTTTTATTTTTTAATTATTTTTTTTTGGTGGGGGGGTTGGAGGTTCGGGAATGTTTGGTTGTTGTTGTTGTTATTGTTGTTGTTAATGTTATTGTTGTTATTGTCGTTGTTGGTGTTTTTGTTGTTGTTGTTGTTGATGTTTTATTTTCATGTGAAAAGCGTTAGAAAGTGTTTTAATAGGTATGCAAGTCTGTGTGGGGTTTTTTTTCTTTTCTTTTTTAAGGAGGTTGGGGGTAGGTTTGGTTTACTACATTTAGACTCTTTTGTTTTTGTTTAGTTTTGGAAAAAATGGGGCGGGGTTATAACTCTTGAACTGTTGCCAAGTTCTTGTTGCTATTGCATTTCTGGGGAACAGATGTGTGTGCTGGTGGTTGGGTTTCTTTATGACCATCCATTCACTTAGGTGTGCTTCTCTTTGGCTACAAACTATGCAGTAAAAATCAGACAAATAACTCACAACGCAGAGGGGAAAAAGGGAAAGGCACTTATTGTGTTAAAGCCTCTCTTTCATTGTGAAATATGGTCGCTTTTAGCACAAGGGGGATATCCCGGAAAATGCTGTTTTGAGAAAATCGAAGATAAAGTTTTTGCCCCTTGTTCAGTTTTTTTTTAAAGTCAATGAGAGTTTTCTCTATAACCAAACAGATATACACACCAGTGGAACCAAACTTCTCGTACAGGTAGGGCAATGCCCACTTTTGGTGTAGGTCAATATTTCTGGAAACCCCAGTTTGTTTGTTTTTAAATAGAGTAGTATACCTGCCTTTCTACAGGGATGTTGCATCTCCTCTCAGCCCTTGCCAGTTGCCAACCCTGACAGAGTCGAAGTAACTCGACGATCTTTAAAGGTTCTAAAGTGTGTCGATGACGGTGTGGAGCATTTGCAATTACATGTTTCTAAAGGCGTTATGTTTATCCCTCTGTCCTAATTAAACTGACCCTGTGTGGTTCATTGTGCGCGCTTCAGTTATTACTCTAGGGACTAAAACTGTTTAAATTAGGTCTTAGAGGTCTTGCCGGTGTGGAGATCCTGCAGCAGCCATCGACCCCCCCCCCCCCCCCCCCCCCCTCCCTCCCCCTTACCTTCTTTTTATTTTTTTTAAATCCTTGCCACCAGACATTGGCTTTACGAAAATGTAATTCCTGAACAACAGTACAGTTGTTTTGAGGGCTTTTAAGGTTCTACATCCATTTGAGTCATGACGTCGGGGAATCAGGCTCTCGTCAGTTTTTGGGCCTCTTCAGTTATTGATATCATCTTAAAGCTTGTTCATTTGACCATCTTTTGATGAAAAAATATACAAGCCTATCTTGAATAGAAGTCGAAACGTTTGTGATTGAAGGAGGTCAGGGTCGCCTTGTTTCAGAGTAAAACCAGCGAGAAAATGGCCTCCAAAGCTAGGTGATTTCCAAAGTTTTGGAAACTGAAAGTTTACAATTTGTTGTGCCTTTAATCAATGTTTTAAAGTAAAATCCACACAGAGATATGTTTGAAATGGACGTAAAAGGTGTTGAGCCAAAAAAACGTTAGAAAAAAAATGTGTCAAACTCAAGGAAAAATTCCGCTATCTTCGATTTCGTTATTTTGACGAACGCCTGATTTCATCACGATGCCTCACATTCAGCACGTTCGTATTTGAGATGGACGTGTAAGTCGGAGGTCTAAAATGATCTCACAATGTTGAAAGGAACGGTAAGCATGAACAATTTCCATGAATGACCGATGACCAATGACAGTAAGATTTTTAGCGCCATACTTCACGTATTCCCTCTCCCCCCGCCTTCCACCCCTCTCTCTACATCCTCCGTCATTTCAACCCTCTTACCCTACTCTGCGGTACCCCCTCCGCCCCCCCACCCAATCCGTCACCCCCTGTCCCCAACCCTCAACCGCTATAACCCTCCCCC